TATTTTGTTGTTGAATAGCATCATCATTTGTATCATTTGTGTTTAAGTTAGAATTATGATTATCTTCTTCTATAATTAATATTTTATCATTTTCTGTATTCAATACTGTTACTACTTCTATAATGTCAATATTCTTTTCATCATTTGAGTTAAAGTTATTATTTTTTTCCATTTTTCTATAATAACTTTTTCAATGTGTATGAAAAAATTTGTAAGATTTCGTATGTTTATAATAATGGTGTACACTTTATAAATAGATGAAAAAAAGTATATCTAAATTCGGTTCTAGATTTTCAAAAATCATGGCGTACATCTACCTGCATGTTGATATGAAAAAAGTATATATTATCCGAATTCATTCGTTCTATGATTGATTAGAGCATCTTTATATAGAAAAAGTATATCCAAATTCATTCATTCTATGATTTGATTAGAGCACCTTTGTATAACAAATATACACCAATTTCAGTAATGATTTTTTACGTTGATTCGTTGATTTAGAGTTTCTATATTAGTCTCTATTCTAATTCGTGATACTAATAGATGAAAAAAAGTATACCCGAATTTGTTCATTGATTAGAGTACCTTTATATAATAACTTGTACTTTTTTTATAACAAATATATATATATTGAAAACTTTAATGAAGAATTCATTTTAAAAGACCAAGTTGATGAATACAAAAAGTGATTTTTGTGGGGATGACCAAGAAAAGGTTTCAGATCGATAATGTCATACAGACTGTAGGGTGGTTGTAATATGTATGTAGTAATGGCAATATTAACAACTAAAACTACTTGAGATTTGATTTTCTCTCATTTGCTTTTTAGCTAATAATAATACAATTGACCAAGGTTTTTTATGACAACGGCAATAATAGTACGAGTGTGCGATCCAAGTTTAGTTAATTAATATCCATGTGATTCACTTATACCGGTAACCCACTAGCTCATTCTAGTGACTCTAGCTATGTTGGTTCAGACCCCCAGATTATATTTGACCGGACTATTAATCATCAGAAGGATCATGGAACAATTCGCAAGGGCCCCTCCTCTTTAACTATTCAAAAATTCGTAGTAAGGTAAAATGTGTTTATTTAATCAAAGGTTAATTAATCAATTATTTATATTACTATTCAAAGATTATTCTTTAACTCAAATACTTTTGTCTAAAGAATGTATATGTAAATTTAGAAACATTTGAATTGATGCCATCATTATATACAGCACTTAACTTGGAATGTTTTGGATTGGAAATCATACTCACTTTACATAGTAAAATTTGACTCGAAATGCGGATCTTATTTTCAATTAGATTATGTATGAATGGTCCTTTCCTATTGAAGTTTTCTATAAGGATGTAAATTGAAAAGCAAAAATTGCATTATTTAAAGAACAACCAAATTCTGGCGATCGATTTATCGTGATTCAACAATAAAAAATATGCACCAAAACCTGTATGTAAAGGTCGTTATAAGTACCAGTATTGATCAACCTATGTTATGTTGCTTCAAACTCAAGAGATGATACTAATCCAATTTTTTTTAAAGAATTGAGTTTTGATGATATTGGATGTAACTATAGCGGTTGAGAAGGATACAAATAAACAATCCTTAAAACTGCCGTCGAAAGAGATGACACGACTTTGGTAAGATGTAAAAGATCAAAGGAAGATTATTATTATTATTTATTTTATACAGAAAGGTGATAAAAAGTGTTCTCTGGGTCTGATAATTAATTTTACAGATTACAAATTCATCTCTGCATGAATCTTTCACTTTCTCCAAACAAAACCACGTGGTTTACTTTTTTTATTTTTCTTTTAGTCGGAGCTTGAAACAAATGAATTATTAGATCGTATATCTGATATTCACGTGTGGAATTTAACTTCGACGCGACCATCATCAACATTATCATCATCTATAAAAGTTACTACCATTATCTTTCATATATATAAAATTTTTTCAAATTTGTGCTACTAAATATATATAAAAAAGGTTTTATTTTTGAAAACTAATATCTTTCATAAAAGGTATATGATAGAATTTCCTTTACCGATAAGATATTCACGTTTCCAAATCAAAAAATGTGACAATTTCTGAACTATAACTCCGGTTTTCTCAACGAAAATTCCCTTTTAAAACGATCCAACAAAGAAACAGGTATACAAAATTTAAAAAAGGAACTTGTTATTTAAAGAAAAAAAAAATGACAACCAAAATTAGTTTTGGAAAAATAATATTTCAAGATTATTCTTTTTTCACTAAAAATATTATTAATATCATCTGCAATTCTTTAAAAATTTTGTATTATCTCACATTTCTTTATTATTAAAAATGTTACAAGTGATAGAAATGATTAATGCAAATACCATTGCGGCTATTCTTTCGTTTATCTCGTTCCTTTGTCTTCTTTTAGTGAACTTTAGTACACCATTTATTAAGACAATTTATATTATATATGTAGTTAGTGGAACAACTGATAAAGTTACAATTGGATTATATGGTTATTGTGTATATTCTTCTTACTCTAGCGTTCAGTGTGAAAGTACTGGTTTTCATACCAATAGTTATATTGAATCAAATAAAGATACAAAATTTTTGTTATCTATGCATACTATTGGTAATGTGTGTTTGCTTATAATTATAAAATTATTAAAATAATTATTTATTGTTTGAATATATTTTTAGGTTTAATAACATCATTAGTGATGACTGTTATTGGTTGTTGTGGTTTTTGTAGTCATAATCCAACCAAGATTTCTAGAAGTGATATACTTTTTAACAGAGCGAGGTGGATTTTCTCATCAATCAATTTTTTAATCATCTTGTTGGCAATGGCAGGACAAATTGAACTTTATTCAAGGATCAAAAAATTACCAATAGTCGATACTATTTATGGTGATCTATCAAATACCACTACAACCCTTCACCCTAGTGGATTCTTTCTCGTCTTTATACCTTTCATATGCACATTATTATCAAGTTTGGCATTTTACAAAGGACAATAAACTGTAGACTGGAGGATCGAAATATAAACACAGGGATGGCCAATCTAAATGTGTATAGGAACATGGAATAACGTTAAATTTAGTTTTTTGACCCTAATATATATTATTATACTTGTTAAATTATCTTAAATTGTAACAAGATGATATAAAGCGACAATTATATTTTATATCTATATATTTATTATTGTTTATTTAACCATTGCATCTTTCAATAGCTATTCTCAATCTAAATTGTAATTTAGGGTTTTTCATTATATATTTTTTTTTTTTTACAATGTACAAAATAAATGTAATTTTTTTATTAATTAGTAAAAAATTCTTTTTTATTGATCAACCTTATTCCAAAAAAAGAGTCATTTGATTCTCTTGCCCCAAACATATAGTTCATTTTTTATCTGATCATCAAATCATTTTTACGAAACTCGTTATATATTTTTTTTTCCAAAAAAAAAAATTTCATTGACTTAAAATTGCCAAAATCTTTTGTTTTATTATTACTGCATATATATTTTGTAGTCATTCGAGGAACAATATAATAATATCATCAATACCAATTACCTGATGATGACAAATAAAATAAAATTCGATAACTATTATAATTTAATAAAAATAAAAATAAAAACAAAAATAAAAAATAAAATAAAAATAATTTAATAAATATTTCCTTTGGAAACTCTAGTCTGCTCTCTTTATTATCTGATATACTTCACACTCTTCTAATACTAGAGAAGATACATTTGTTTTCTTGAGATTTAAAGTTTTTACATGTTTTTTATTATCAAAATGACAATTTGAACCCTTCAAGTATAATCCATCAAAGGCTGCATATGAATCATGTCCATGATAAGGAGCAGCACTAAATTGAAAATAACTATGTAATCTAGGATATGATGAACCTTCGTGTTTTACAAAATAATAAGGAATATTAACTTTATTTACTACTCTTGAATCATTTGTTTGATTATCAATTTTAAAAATAAAACCTTTATTCATAAAAGTAAAAAAGGTATCCTTTCTATGCCAATATAATTTATTGTAGCCTCCAATCAATTCACCCGTGTCTTTGATTTTCATGACAATTATAGTTTGTTTAATATTACAAGTTGAATTAAGAAAAGCTGAACTGTTAAATCCATGTTGGGATCCACGATAAACTAATTTGAACTCATATGGCATATTGTTATATCTATATACATATTCTTGTTCATCAATCAAGCTAGCAACACGACATCTAGATTTTGCATTCAGTAAATTCAGTTTCACGATTTTTGGTTTAGATATATTTACTCTTGGGCCTTTTTGAATTATTGAATTTCGCCAACTACCAACAAAATAAAAGTTCTCAATTTCTTTATAAACATCTTTGTCAAAGATCCTTTTATGTGGTTTGATTTTATTATAAAATTCTTCAGAAGGTATTTGATCGAATCTTATTAATGGTATAATCTCATTCAACAGTCTTTTTAACTCGGTAATTTCTTCTTCATTTCTTTCAGAAATCTTTTTTCCTTCTAATTCGGCATTCTGAGCAACTGCCCATTGAATAACATAATCCCAAATTTCTGTTTCTTTCATCGTCAGATTATCCCGTTTTAATATAGAGATAAGTAAAGGTTTTTCAATTTTTTTAAACTCGCTGGATTGAAAAAATAATTCCGGAAAGAGGGAAGTTGCTTCAGCGCAGTATTCTCGAAGTGGAACATATGGTCCTTGTGATGATATTTTTTTGATGTAGACTATATTTCTCTGAATCCAATCTTCGGCATTTTCAATTAGAAAATCTTGCAATTTGTCAAACAATTCATTAAAACACAATTCATCACAAGCTTGAAGCATTTGAAAAATTTCATCTGGAGAAATCTCAATTATATTAACAGCTCCACTATAAGCATAACTATCATAATTATGGGTTTATAAATATAAATAAAGAAAATATCAATAATGTAAAATATTAATTACAACAGTGAATTACGATCAAATGAATAGTACTTACTTTAAAATAAACTCAAAAACTTTTGGAGATATATTTGGTATTTCAAGAATAATAATTCCCTTGTCATTTTTTTTTACCTTTTCACTTGACAAAACTTTCTTGAAGTAAAGAGATCTTGCTTTTAAAATTAGAGAATGTGTTTTAAAAATTTTAACATCTTGATTATCTTCCCCAACTTTAATTTCTGTATCGTAAAAATCAGAATCTTTTAAAAGCTTTACAAAATCACTTATAAACTTTTTATTATCATCATGCTTTAATAAAAATTTTTCATTGTAAGGTTTGCTATTATAAATGTTATTAGGATTCATCGAAGATGATGCTTCTGCCGTTATTACTGTTGTCTCTTCTGCTCTTTCTTCAATTACCACGATCTTGTCATCTATATCATCATCACAAGAAGTGTTCTCCATTTTTTCTGCTTTTTGCTATTTTTTTTTTTTTTCTGAATATTTTAATACTGAATTAATCTTCAATGATTTCAATTTATTGGTCATTCATTTCACTTGTTTATTTCCTGTTGCATCTAAAATCAAATAACTAAATGGTCTCATTTAACGTTACACGCCATATCAAAATCCAAGTGACAATTTAGGGCGCCTTTAGAAAAAAAACACTGAAATATTTTGTTAAAGAAATTTATTGCCTTTTTGGAAAAAGATATTCACGTTTCCAAATTTCAGCATTTCATTGTTACAAACAACAACACTTTCTTTATCTTCGCACTATATTCATGTACTTTATTTTATCCAGTCAAATAATCCTATCACTATTTACTATAAAAAAATTATCCGTGTTTTAAAACTCCGTATTTTTAAGCTATTTGTCAGAGGGAAGTATTGCACATTAAATGACTCTTTATATATATATTACATATGCACATGCAACAAATCCAAACAAAGCAAATATTTGTATTACTACTAAGAATTTCAGGTGTAGTTTGTAATAGTGACCAAAAATATTATTTCAAATGATAATTGACAGAGTTGTCAAGCCAAACCACTATTACTATTACTACTAATAATATCAATGTTTATTTTATTATTTCTAAATCAATTGTATTTTTCTTATAATATATTTCTAATTATTAATATTTATAAAAATAAAAATATCCTGCATTCAGTTAATTATTTAACAATTTATATGCTGCCATCTAATTTTATCACCTTACAAACAATTACCTCACTAACATTCACAGGTTATTAGACAATTTACATATTCTCAGTAATGAATGAATGTGTCAGTACTCTTTATTTTTTTTTGTTCTTGGTGATGATGTTGGCATTTTATGATTAATGCTTTTTGGAAGCGTCGAGGAAATTTTTATATCAATATTCATTTTATTGTACCAAAGATTTCTAATCATGCCCTAAATCAAAATGATAATTAATTATTTAACAACAAATATCATGAGACCTCCTCATAAGTTTGGCCCGAATGTTTTAAAGGCTAACCAGAAAATTTTGGATTGGTTTCGGGTTGATTTTTATTAATTAACTAGAGTGATGATGAGTAGTGGTAACTTACTCTGAAATAACTTCTTGCCCTTGATTTTGTTTTCTTTTTTTATTTGATTCTGACATTTTTTGTAAAAGAGTTATTTAATCAACGAATGCAATTAACAACTAAACTACACAGCGAATCTTGATTTAGCAGATAGTTTGTGCAATTAGGGAAAATTTTCCAAAAATCTGTTAAACCAAGATATCCGTTATATTGAGAAGGTTTTTATTAAGTTTTATTATTTAATTAGATGATGTTTATATTTTGTGTTGTAAAAGTTAAATTATAACATAATGCTCATGCTCTATGAAATGAAAAATCAAATTATTTAATTAGATGGTGTTTATTTGTGTTGTAAAAGTTAAATTATAATATAATACTCCTGGTTATTAAAAAATCAAATTATTTAATTAGATGATGTTTATTTTGTGTTGTAAAAGTTAAATTATAACATAATGCTCATGCTCTATGAAATAAAAAATCAAATTATTTAATTAGATGATGTTTATTTTGTGTTGTAAAAAGTTAAATTATAATATAATACTTACACCTTAAAAAATAAATTCTATTTTTTTAATTTTCTTTTTGACGTTTTTTAACTGTTTCAATTCCTCATTTGTAAATTCCTTAAACTGTTGTTCAAACAAACAACTTTACTTTTTTCAATAGCCAATAAAGCATCTTGACTTGAAATAGGAAATGTCTCTTCGATGTCTTCTTCATCCTGATTTTCTTCATTAAAATTCACTTAATTAGATGATGTCTTAATAAAGTTTTATTTTGTAAAACATTTATTTACCTTTATAGTATTTAGCTAAGCATTATTTTATTATAAAGCAAAATATTAAAAATATGTAGTATTTTTACATCATAATTTAAATACGTTCATTCATTTTTTTACAAGACCGGTGCATCTATTCCTGTTAAGAAATTGTATTGTAGTATATATTAATATGATTTGGATATGATTGACAAATAATAATTATTGAATTTATTTGTATATGCTAAATTTTTAACTTTAAAATAGATAAATTGATGTAACATGGACATATCACAAGACTGATATAACCAATCAATATACGTACGACATTAATTAGTTTTGATTTTCTCCGCGTAATAATACTAAATTTTGGAGTTCAAGCGAAATCAGCGCATATGTGTATATTTCTGACAAAAAAATAATAAATAAAATTTATTAACAATATTATTGGCTCTAGGAAGGCGTTTTTTTGCTTAAAACAACTTTCAAATTATTATAAATAATAACAAACACTTCGATTCAAGGCGTCAATATACTGTTCTATTACAAGAGTTGTATGAGCATTATAAACATTGCAGTGTATTCTTAAATCTGAAGAGAATTTCACCAATATATGGAATAACTATTTGCTCAAGATTGATTTGCATCCATGGAGGGTGGAGCATGATTGTATTGTGATAACCTTTCAAAATGATATACTCAAATCTCTGTGTTCAAAATCAAGCTGGAAGCAAATCTGAGGCCAACAACTATGTCTTGCAGAAGAAAGTTTATTGGGAAGACTTAAACCCATTTTACAAAAGGCTAAAAATGATAAAGAATCTTTGTTGCAGAAGTTTGCACAGGTATGGATAGATATAGGTAAAGGAGGCATCACCTTATTTGAGCAATATGCATTACTGGTTATCCATATTTTTGTTAGTGAACTTACAAGTAAAAGAAATGTCATCTCACATTCTTTGACCACAGAAGCCATGTGGAGCACAATAATCAGTTTTATAATGGGGAAAGTTGTGTGTGATGAAGATATTGAATATATGTGGGGAGAGGTTGAGTTAAATTCAACAGCATCAAGAAAAAATGGCAGGCATGATATTCTTTCACTTCCAAAAGTTACAACGGGACATAAAGGGGATGGAGCAGGACTGTCAAATGATGGACATGAATGCTTTGTTTTGGAAATATCTTATGCTCTGCAAAACCAAGATAGGAGGAAGATGGCTGAAGATTTTTATAAGTTGCTTCAAGAAATGAGAGACATGCTTCATGCTTCTAAGAAAGAAAAGTGTGAATTAGGCTATAAGATACCAAAAGAGGGTTTGTGTGTATATGGTTCACAATGTTATGGATAAGGTTTCTGGTCCAAACTGTTTTCTCAAAGCCCAAACTAGTTTGGGCAATTTGGGCTTCTCAACATTGTTTATAAGCATGAACATTAAAAAACTATATGAATCAATTTGTTTTAACTTAAACAACTTTAAAATAATTTCGCCCAATTTCGGCTAATAACAAAAAGTAGTTTGGGCTTATAAAAAAATAAATTTTGCCCAAAGTATTTGGGCAATTTCGGCTACTAATAGAAGCAGTTTCGGCCAGAAACCTTAGTTATGGATATACACAAAATTTGTTTGAGATAGAGCACTTTATGTAGTTCGAAAAATTGGGTCTATGAAAATTCCTCAGTGATATCACAAAACTTTCCCTTGTTCTGTGGATGATGTGGGCATTTAAAAAAGGGTCACTTCTGCAAATGAGGTATGGAACAGTTTAGAAAGCCAATATGAAACCATCACAATGCTAGAATCATCTGATGATGAAGATAACTTCACAAAGGTGTCCCCTAAGAAGCCATCAAGACATATTGATATGAATATAACTCAAAAATTTCACTGATATTTTGGTTTTTAATTAAATATTACAGAATATACTTTATTGTATCAGATGCAACATGCAATATTTTGATATATTGATTGTATTTGCATTGTCACTTAAGAAGTAAATTCAAGTGATGATTGTTTTGTGAATTCATCATCACTTAAGAGACACTTACACATATGTTGAGGGCAAACACACAGTATTGATTGAAAACCAATTCATAAAAAAAAGTACACATCTCAAACAATTTCAATTTTTATTTTCCTTTGGTTTTTGATTTTTATCATTATCTACCAATTTGTTATCCACTATAAATATTACCACATCTCCTAGATGATCCAGTCAATTTTTTTTTCAATAACAAAGATGAAGCATATAATGCTGAAATGGCAATCTGTACCTTGGCTTTGTATGTTGCATCTGAATATGAGGATGAAGCACATAATTCCAAAATGATACCTCATCTATTTGGTAATACATAAAAGCATAACTTTTCTTTATCTCTGCCTTATATTATTCTACCTTTGCATATTACCAAAAGTTATAGTGATTTTATTTATTTTTTTTTTTTTTGTACCATTATGACATATTAACAAACTCATAATATTCTTACATTTTGGATTAGTTTATAATTTTTACCATGTCCAACTTAATTGCAAAAATTGTAACCTTTTTATTGAAAGAGCCTTTAGACACAATTTGTTCTGCATTTGTTGTAATAATAATAACACCTTGATTCATATAAAGATGTTAAAGATTTAGCAGAGTATGTAGTAAATTCAGCATTAGGAGAATTAGATGATTCGGATTCTGTTTGAAGAGAAAGAGCATTGGATATTATTGGAGAGTAGAATAGCACAAATCACATTATTTGTACTGCCCCAAGAGGTATAAGTAAATTTGGTTTTAGACCAAGTTATATGTAATCTTCATTAACTTCCTAACATTTTAATAAATATATATGGGCATACTGCAACAAAACCAGACAAAGTGAACATTGGTATTACCAAGGATTTCAGGGATCAAAATTTAGTCATTTG